TTTAGCAGCTATAAATGGTAAGGTATTTATCTTTACATACGTGAGAATTTAAAAAAAAAGTACAAAATCTATTAACTTCTACAGCAAACAACAAATTTTATCAATTATAAAACCGTGCCTTAACTGAAAGCCATATTTTTACTAATTATGTTGTTCTAGTTCTAGTTGCTAAAAAAGTGTATCAAAACATTTAATATAAGAATGATAACAATAACAAAAGATTCAATAACAATAATAAAAGAATCCAGATAATTGTGAACCATATAAAGAAAAGAGTTTTTAATTCAAGGTAGGTCTATTTTTGTAGCAAAAAATAAAAATATCGTTCAATCTAAATGTAACATTATTTTACTAAAAGTATTTATTGTATTCCTAGTTAATTAGGTATTAGGTATATTGCATTGTGTCACAAAGAAATTGTGGGATGCTACACCTTCAATTTCACTTTTATTTGTAAGGGGTTTTCTCGCCACAGAGAAAACGGTTCCTTACGAATGACGCTGGTTACGGGCGGTTCTCGAGCGCCAGATTTTTGGATGATGGTTTACTCCACAAACTTTCGAAACGGCGTCGAAAGTACTCGGGTAGCTACAGATGGAGATGAAAAATTCCAAGGGTCAAAGGTCACTTAGACACAGGTAATAGTAGGCCACAAGTAACGGGCTTTAATCGTTGCTTGGGCTCATACAGAATTTATCACTAGTTGAAATATAAGGGGGAAATAAAGTAGGGAATTATTAACCAGTAATACGGCAGGTTAACATTGACACATATATTGTGATTAACTATTTACAATAAAAAGAAGGAAATTAAATATTTCAACGCCCACCCCAGTTGTGGTGATAGTCAATATAACCCTGAATATAAAAAAAAGAAACAAAACGGACGTATTGATTCGCGACTAGTCTCAATCAGACGTTAAAATTAAATTAAAATAAAATGTATATTTCGGTCGCAGAGAAAAGAAAAAAAATTATTAACTTGGCTATTCACTCGGTAAATAACTGTTTAACCGTGGTATCGGGAATTAAACTAAAATGTAGTTATTTTGCTCTTTAGGTGAGGAAATATTAATTAAACGGTCGAAGAGAGTGCGAGGAGACAGGGACGCGAAAGAATTACTTATAGTAAATACACGGAAAGAAAATAAAAATAAATTTATACCCGGGGTAGCCTATTATCCCAGAATGAGCTGATCGTCATCACGAGCCCGCTCAGAGAGGGTAATGAAGCTATTTTTGCTTTCTACAACTTGCAGTTTGTATGCAAAAAAATTAAGAATATAAAGGGGAAAAGAAAACTAACGCGGATAGCACCTAATCCAAGAATGAACTGATCATCATCACGAGCCCGTTCAGACAAGGACATGACACTATTTAAAGTTATTTAAATTGTCGGAAAAAGAGAAAAACAAATTATTATCGGAGGAAAGAAAATTTACTAACGCGGATAGTACCTACTCCAAGAGTGAACTGATCGTCATCACGAGCCCGTTCAAACAAAATAGGATACTATTTAAAATTATTTAAAAATTGCGGTTTACAGATTAACTAAAAAAAATTATAACGCGGATAGCACCTACTCCAAGGGTGAACTGATCATTATCACGAGCCCGTTCAGACCAGGACAGGATGCTATTTAAGATTATTCAAATATACGGTAAAATAAATAAACAAACTATTAAAAGAGGGAAAACGTCTCCTCCAAAACTCCGTTTATAAATATTGTCAACTTAATTACAACGCGGTACTTACTAAACAAAAGTATTTATGAATAAAATCAAATTTAAATCCCGATTTAACCTATCAAAAGAAAATGAATAATTTCCTAATACCGACTAACAATCAAAAGTCTAAAATCTCCGGTTTTACTATATTACAGAATTAAATCCTATCATTTAATATTTAATTCAAATTATATCCCTTTTTAAAGGAACGGTATATTTGTAAAACAAAAATAAATTCAAATGTTTATTAAGGAAATCAAACTAAATCTTTTATCTAAACTAGCTATAAAAAAAAAACAGTAATATTTTTATCAAAAAACAATTTCTAATATTTATTAGTTAAATCAAATTAAATCTTTTAAGTAAATCCTATTCATAAAACAGAAGAAACGGTATCATTTGCTAAGAAACAAATTCTATTATTTATTATTTAAATCAAATTAATTCTTTTAACTAAACACTATCTATAAAATAAAAATAAAGAAACGGTATCATTTGCCAAGAAACAAATTCTATTATTTATTAAAGAAATCAAATTATTTCTTTTAATTAAACACTATCTATAAAAATATTCCTATTCCTACAAACTAATTCGCTATTTAAAATGAAATACGGTCTTAATTTCAAACGTAAAAAGCGGAACAAGGTTTTTTACCTAACGGATTTGTAAATACAAGAAAACGGAAAAAATATCGGCGGTGATTTGATATCTAAAGCGGTGTATTAGAGTCAACTGCTCGGAATCAAAAATTATATCGAACTCATAATTTTAATAGCATCTCGGCTCTCGTTCAAACAATTGATTCCCTCTCCTATCAGAAATCCCACTTAAAGACAGACCTACCGCGCACGATTTTTACATCGGCGTTCGCGCTGGTAAATTAACTGAGGATCGACAGTTCATATCGCGTTAAATATTTATTATTAAAATGAAAAATGAAAATAAATTGATTGAGGAAAATTGACTTTATTACATATTCTACAAGTCGTTTATTAGATCCATAATTGACTACGGCTGTATTTTCTATGGGTCTTCGTCAAACACAAATCTAAAAAAGGTAGAAAGAATTAAGTACAAAGCTGTATGACTTTGTATTGGAGCTATGAAATCATCTCCATGCAATGTAATTCTGGCGAAAGCTAATGAACCCCTATTATATCTTAGACAATACCTAGCTAACAAACACATAACTAAACTGAGAATGTAGAACTCCTCATTAGTTAATCGAATAAATTTAATAACTAACAAATTTTGGCGAAAAAAACTTATCTGTACTATCATCTGCCTTTCTAGATACACTGGAGGTTAAGTACATTAATCCCTTAGTAACTATACTAGCATTTACATTTGATTACAACTCAATGAGTTCTAAATCTCTAGTTATATTCCTCCATTTCAAAGATATACCCGCCTTTAATCAAAAATTATTATTTTCAACAATAGATAACTTAAATATTAAATTAGTTATATACACAGATGGAAGTAAGGACTAATTCGCGTTTTTTATTTCTGACAGGGAAGTAACTTTTAAATATCGGATTCCGAATGTTTGTAGTATTTTTAGAGCAGAAGCGAATGCTATTGAAAAAGCTCTCTTCTGGTGCTTGGACAATAGTATTGCAGAAACAATTATAGTCACATATTCCAAATCCGTATTGGAAATCATTAAACACTTTTCAATGAATAACTCAAAAAACTTCATCATTTGTAAGATAAAACAATTACTATATCAGCTTTCACTAATAGTCCAATTAAATAACGAAAAAAAGCCCCTTCGAGCTTACATTAACTTGTAATTGGATGAAACAAAATGGACCTTGTGTATTTTGATGTGATCTTTCCGAAAAAAAGAAAAAATGATGTAGCAGTTTTTAAATTTTTTTTAAATTAGGAAAAACCGGGTTTTCCGGAATTTTCCCTGGTAAAAATGCTAATTATCTGGGAAAGTATCATTCTGATAGTAAAAATAAATGCACCAATCGAAAGAGAAGGCAAAAATAGTTCGGAATTTCATTGCACAGGTAGTTTTAATGGCCAATTTCTCGCCGCCAGAAGTGATTTTACCAAAAAGTTGTTTTTTCGTTTCTTTGATCAGAATCATGAACATGAAATTTGCGATGAATTTGTGGCGAAATTATAAATGTTAGACATATGTGCCCATGAGAGAAGTTGCGTATTTTTTTGTGGGCTCTCAAATAAAATAAGTCCCGCGGCGAAATCTGCCATAATTTTTCGGGAATTCGCAGGAAACCGGAAGGCGTAAATTTTTTTTAATTTTTTCCCATATGATTTTCTCCGGGTTTTCCGAAAACATCTAACAAAAAATATATTTAAAGAAACTAACTGCGCCATCGGAAAGAGCACAAAAAAATATACAAAAAGGTATATTTTAAAAATGTTAACAAATTAATCCTAAAGCTTGAGTGTAAGTTCCAACTTGGTGATAAGCTTGTTTTTTTGTTCTCTAACATCTGGTTTTCTTCTCGGTTGATGCTCCATTCTCATTTTTTTGGCATTGTCAATCGCGGCTCTTTTATGCCTATCCCAGGTTTTATATATTTTTTTTATTAGAATTAGAATTTATTATTGACAAAATATAAATACAATAATTACAGTAAAGTTTGAAAACATTTAACATTTGACAAGGAGCCCTAGAATAAGCATCTTGCCTAGGCTGTGTAGCCTGTGTTGCTATTGTACTCATTCTAGGTCCCCTTTTTTAAATTGTATTATAATATATAATATAATATAAATGGTAAGCATAAAAAAAATAAACAAAAATTGGAATAATAATGAAGATGATGTATTGGGATTTGGCAGATACAGTGCCAGACTTATTGATGTTGAATTGGTTAATGCTTAAGGAATCGCAGGGCATGTTTGACATTATCGGTATATATATTTTTTTTTTATAATTTGAATAGGACAATGAATCAGAATAAAAATTTACTATTGTGAGATAGAATATATTTCTTTACTTCGGTTTTAAATATATGTTCTTTAGCGATTTGTTTTATATTTATAGGTAGGAGGTTATAATATTTTGGGCCAAAATAAAAAATGATTTTTGGGTAACTGATTTTTTAAAAAGGTTAACGGCTAGGTCCATATTGGCAGTAGAGCGAGTAACTCGAGAGTTTTTATATTGAAACTTTTTAGTACTGTTGTAAATTTTTATAATACATTGATATATAAATAGCGATTTGATGTTAAAAATTTGTGTTTCATCATAAAGTTTTTTAGTTCGAAAAAGTTTAGGCTTATTAAAGATAATTTTTAGGATAGTGTTTTGAGCTGTTTGTAATATATATAAATAAACTCTTTTCCATAACGTCGAGCTACGTTATGTTTGCGACACCTTTCATGCAATATAAAACCTGGTTCTAAAGAACTGAAAAAAATCATCCCCTCTCTCTTTGCTGACCATCTGCAGACCTTTCAATCCTGTTGGTCCAATTGGGGTAAGTTCACCCTCTGCAAGTTTCTGATGACATAATAAACACAGTACAGCCATTGCAACCTGGAAACAAAAAAAAATTATAGCACTGTGATAGAATTTTCT